CTGACCTCCAATCTCCCGGGAGCAGACAGTGGATGCTGTCTGCTTCAATTTCAGTGGCAAACGTTTGCATACTACTATGAGTATATATAATCTTATCCAATCTCGTGGCTACAAGGTTGTACACATCCTGTCGTCCTGTGCACACATCTCAGCATATGGCAAATGCTCTCTCCAACAAGATCAGAAAGGATTATTGTAAGGGATTTTAGTGATCGAAATGGGTGATCAATTGTCTCAACGGTTGACAAAACAAACTATGCTGACGAAGCTGAAGATGTCGATGTCTTTACTCTCCAACATGCAGCCTGATGCAAAAAAACAAACTCTGTCCACACACACACACACACAGATTCAGACATTCAGTTTTTTTTTTGACGCAAAATTCAGACATTCAGTGATACGGTCATTCAGAGAGTAATATGTTCGTCAGTAACTCGTGAGCTAGGATGGCCTAAAGAGAACAAAAGCGATGAGGATATCGGCGAGGATCTCCACATCCCATGTGTGTCCTGATCTCAGACCCCTGGACCGTGAGGGAATTCGTACCTGTTTGGAAGCATTTGGGACATTCAATTCGCCCCCATGTTCTGTGGGTGCCAGGCTCCTCCTCATCATCACAAGCTTGCAAAGCTGCAGGGCAAGATATAGTATACATGCATATCCTTATCAGGGAAATGCTGCGTTGCTATCCGGTTAAAACTGTCCGGTCAGGCCGGTTTAAGGGCATGAACTATGCTGTGACATCATCTTTTGAAAAAAAAGATGTCATGTAAGATTTTTATTATGTGGAGGAAAGGAGAAGAAGGAGAGAGAAGATTGTTGTCTGTTAATCAACAGACGGTCTAAGAACCAACTTAATATGAAATCATTATTTGTATGTATATGTTTGAGGCATCTACACAGACGAAATGTTGTATGAATTGTCTATATGTAGTGTCTAGATATAACGTGGAAAGCTTATATATCGACAGCAATCGTCCGAACCACTGTTCATGCTCTAACATGGCAGAAAATTATCTGAACAGGTTCGCATCACCGGGAATCACATTCCCTTGCAAGGGCACACACTGCAAAGACTCCGTTGATTCATCATGATGCCTTTGCACCTTTTCTGCTTCCTGAATGGTGGCTTCCACTTTTGTTGCAAGCTTGTACTGAACTGCTTGCTGAATGCTGATGCAGCAGTCTGAAAAAACCCAGCATTTCTCGTGGAATCAATGGTGTCCCTGTTCTTGGTTGCATCACTGCATCAGGGGAAGGAGGCACGAAGAATCTGCAGTGATATGGATGGGCATACGGTATGACAGCGAGAGCACCATAGTATTTTCTTATACTCATTTAAATAAAATTGCAGCTACCACTAAAAATGAGGCTGGATAATCTGTCAACTACTCATCTTTGTTGTGTAAAAAGAGGGTAATAATTAGTAAATTCGTCTCTTCAGTTCATGAACATGAGAACTGAGTCTATTGTAAATGCAATAAATATTCTCAAATTGAGATGTAGGGGTACTCCTGAATAATGTTGCAGGGTCCAGTGGAATCTATTCATGTACTGTGACCTGAAAAATATGATATTATCAGGGTTTGCTCTTTACCGATGAAGATAACATATAGAAATATGTCAACTTGCAAAGTTGATTTGATTGATAAGAAATCCACGTCCCATTGTCAATGCGTTCAACCAAGTCCTTATTACTGGCTTGGTAGAAAGATTTCGCTTGATTATCATATCAACACCCTGTTCATCAACATGATTCGATTCGATTGATCATCACGGTAGAACAGAATTTTTTTGTCTCGCCAGCTACAAGACAAGAACCGATTAACAATGTTTCACTTGAGTTGCTTGCACCAAGACACTTTCTTTCTACAGTACTTTTGACATTTCAGGTTACAACATCAGTTAGTTTTCCCTAGCAAATTTATTTTTCAATAACGGAAATGATTTACTTCCCCGGCCTTTGCTGCAAAGCTCAGCATTGCACGATTATTCCATATCTAGTTATGTCAAACTGAATCTTGGAGAATCAAAAACTCGTTTTTTTAACGAAATGAAACAGCCTCTACCACTCTACCAGTAGTACGAGGACGAGTAGATGATTGAATTATAGTACCTGGCCGTATCAGCTTGCAATCTTTCTTCAGGTAGACTCACATGGAGATCTTGATGGTCATGCTCTTAATGGCAGGTTATGTTAGCTCATACAGAACTGGCCTCCTGGCGAAACTATTTGACCAAAACACTAATATAATCATTTCTGAATTTCTATCCCTCGTTGACCATCAATTGTTTGCGAAACGTGCTTTGAAATAGTCCAGAGTCAAAATCAAAACTCTAAATTCAAGCTGTACTGATGCAATCAGTTGTGGCTGACTAGGAAAGGTGGCACCTCTCCCAGTAGCCGCTGACAGTTTGTCAGTGTTCTATGGAGATCTTGCGTGATCTTGCCAGTTTATCGTATCTGAAGATTGTCCATATTAAAGGCTTATCAAAACTAATAATTCAGGTCAACCTTAAACTTCCATTTGGGAGTAAACACTCAGGTGATCAGCTTGGGCTCTTCGCTAGAGGTATAGGTCAGATGCTAATGATATGCTGAGACAATGCAGCTGCTGCAGCTATATATATATATGCAGATGTTGCAAGCTACATCGAATATTCTACATGGTCTCTGACCTGACCTTTCAAGAATGAGAAAGCTGTATGCTGAAAAAACATAGAGTAAACAAAGCTCCTGCAAAAGCCATGCATTTTGATTCCTTGTAATTTCTGTGTAGTTAGCAAACAACCAGCCATGTCTGAAAGGTGACCGAAAGATTAAACAAGTGGCTGTTTCGCCATCCTTACTGCAATGGCGCAGCAACTGAACGGTGGAAATGTCACACACGGCATAAATGTGACTGCGAGGTCGTCACGGTTTCCGGTAATCTTCTTTTTCCTTGAATGCATTAGTGCGGCGTTAAGCTGCCCAACGCCCTCGAAGGAGGAGGTGCCAAACTCCCAAATTTCAGCTAGAGTCGGGTTGAACTGTTCATCTCAGATGCTAGACTGTAAAAAGGGGAGGGAAAAAAAGATCAACTGCATAACATTGGGTAGTTAATTAGGAGTAGGAAAAAAGTTCATACCGGATGAATCTTTTTTCTTTCATGTTCATGAGGAAATACTGAGATTTAGAGTTAGAGGTAAATTATAGTGTTAAAATTAGGAGGTATATATATTCGTCCTAATATACAATTTGGTTTCCACCGAAATGCCAATACATCTTAAGACCTAATTAAGTGGTTTCTACACAATGAATTCAAATAAATGTTTCGAGGATGACCTTACCCGCTACCTTAGAAGGTCGAAGAGTAAAATGCCTTCAACAATCGGAGAGCGGTTAACATAAGGAAAACATTAGAAGGCCTCTCGACGTGAAGTCCCAAATCATCTAGTTGTGTGACTTATGGCAAAAACCGAGGAAATAAAATATTTTAATTATCTGAAAGATTATGAACCCCTGGATAGAGGGGTGTGTGCCAAGACATTCGACAAGTCGAAGACTCTCAGTTTATATAAGGCATACCAATGTATAGAAGATGGGTGGTAAGACTCAAGCCAAAAATATCTCAAATCTTCGATTGTTAAGTGACCCTCCAATTATCAGACGGTTTGGTCGAAGACACAATCCTTCGGTCCCCTCTCCATATAGACTCATAGAACGGAGTAGTGGTGACCATGGAGTCATAGTCTTGGTCCATAGGTTTATGATAGTCCCAACTCATATACCATATGTCGAGGGTATGTTCATAGTAAATTTATACCATATAAATTATTAAGGAAACTACTGCGTAGTTTTTCTATAATATACCACTCAATGGACCACAGATATATGGAAACTCTCATGTTTTTGGGAGAGGAAAAAATAATACATACATGTGGTACAACATACTTTATCCCCTCAAACACTTCAAATCCTCTAGGCATCTTCTCTCAGAGAATCTTGGACTCCAAGTACTATCATTCACTGCCTACTTATGTAGTACATTGACAAAGATATTTCAGAATTTCTTTATCATCCAAGTGTATAGTACAAATATATCATTATTTTTACCTCAATAAATAAATTTGAGTTTTTTCACCAATCTACTACTTATTTATAGGAATCTAAAGTAATGAACACAATAAGCTTTATTGGTTTCTTATTGGGCCATGTCGACGAGAATTCATGGACCGTCGAATATGGGAAACAAATGTATTGTGAGCGTCGAGTAGGCAAAATTTCAAAGCGACCATTCAGGATACTTGTATCAATTTGTAAGTCTTCCAACCTTCTAAACCTCTTCTATTTTTCACTTTCATGCCTCCCCTACCATGACTCCATGAGACCTCTACTCCTTGTCTCCACATACACGTTGTGTCACCGCCTCCTCCTCCCCGACCCCCCCCCTCTCTCACCACATTCTTCCGCCTATGCATGGTAAATTCTTTTTAAGTTAACTCTTACACTCCTCCCCTCCCACCGTAAAAAAGTACATGTGTTTTCACCTATTCAAATTTTTACTAGGAGATATTTAAGAGAGTGCCGTTGCCTAGATCTAGCTACGGACAATTGGTACTCTGAACTTGTAACATAGTTCTGAACCATCTGAACTTGTAACGTAGATCTGAACCGTCCAAATGGTGACAGCCAAAGTTTCACAGTACGATACAGCGCGGTTCGAAGAACTGGCGCGCGCCTCCGAACACGCCAAAATATTTTGTTCCATTCGATCAAAACCACCCATTTTGATACGTTATACCAAAACGAGAATCACTCAACCCGTGGCTACAGCTTTTTCGTTTAATCGAGAACCATACCTTTTTTTTTCGCGTCTAGCTGGATCACTGCCCTGTGGGCCACACATGCAATTTTTTTCCCAATTTTCCATCTGGCCCACTGAAAATTTCGAGTAGTAATGTTTTGCAGCAGCCAACGGTTATATATACAGCCTAGTTCAGCCATCATCCCCATGAACACAAAGCCGGCCTCTCTCCTCTGCAGCAACAAACCGGAGGGTCGGCTCACACAAAGCTACACTCCAAACGTGCAGCGCAGCAGCAGCAGCAATGGCGAGTCGCCACAGCGATGAGGCGACGCAATGCCACCAACAATTGCTTGTCATGCCGGCGGCGACGGCGAGCTATCCCAAGCTGCATGATCGCCCGAGGCTGGCCGGCGCCGCCGCCGGCGTTCTTGGCGAGGTGGCGTCCATCCTCTGCCTCGCCGGGCCGATGGTCGGCGCCGGGATCCTGCTGTACCTGCGCTCCCTGGTGTCCATGGTCTTCCTCGGCCGCCTCGGCCAGCTCCCGCTCGCCGGCGGCTCGCTCGCGCTCGGCTTCGCCAACATCACCGGCTACTCCGTCCTCTCCGGCCTCGCCGGCGGGATGGACCCTGTTTGCGGCCAGGCGTTCGGCGCGGGGCGGACTGACCTGCTCCGCGCCGCGCTCCGGCGCACCGTCGTGCTGCTCCTGGCGGCGTCCGTGCCCATCAGCGCGCTCTGGGTGGCCATGCACCGCGTCCTCGTCGCCACCGGCCAGGACCCGGACATCGCCGCCACGGCGTACGCCTACATCCTCTGCTCCCTCCCCGACCTCGCCGTGCAGTGCTTCCTCCACCCCATCCGCATCTACCTCCGCGCGCAGTCCGTCACGCTCCCGCTCACCTACGCCGCCGCCGCCGCGCTGCTGCTCCACGTGCCCATCAACGTCGTCCTCGTCGACCGCCTCGGCCTCGGCATCCGCGGCGTCGCGCTCGGCGCGGTCTGCACCAACCTCAACTGCCTCCTGTTCCTCGCGGCGTACGTGTGCCTCTCGGGAATGTACGGCGGCAGGGCGAAGGCGTGCGCCTCCGCCGCCGCGCCGGCCGCCGGCGAGGAGGACGACGACGGCGGCGTCAGGGAGTGGTGGAGCCTGGTGAGGCTGTCCGTGCACAGCTGCATGTCGGTCTGCTTGGAATGGTGGTGGTACGAGATCATGGTGCTCCTCTGCGGCGTGCTCGCCGACCCCAAGGCGGCGGTGGCGGCCATGGGGGTGCTGATACAGACCACCTCGCTGATATACATCTTCCCGCACTCGCTCGGCTGCGCCGTGTCCACCCGCGTCGGCCACGAGCTCGGCGCCGGGAGGCCGGAGCGGGCGCGCCTCGTGGCGCGCGTCGGCGTCGGCCTCGGCGCGGCGCTCGGGATCGTGGCGTTCGGGTTCGCGGTGTCCGTGAGGGCGGCGTGGGCGCGGATGTTCACGGCGGAGGACGCCATCCTGAGGCTGGCGGCGGCGGCGCTGCCGCTGCTGGGCGCCGCCGAGCTGGGGAACTGCCCGCAGACGGCCGGGTGTGGCGTGCTGCGCGGCAGCGCGCGGCCGGAGAGGGCGGCGAGGATCAACGTGGCGGCGTTCTACGGCGTCGGGATGCCGGTGGCGCTGGCGCTGGCGTTCTGGCCCGCGGGGCTGGACTTCCGGGGGATGTGGGGCGGCATGCTCGCCGCGCAGCTCGTCTGCGCGTGGCTGATGCTGCGCGCCGTGCTGGGCACCGACTGGGCGGAGCAGGCGGAGCGCGCGCGCGAGCTCACCGGCGGCGGCGACGGCTACGCCGCCGTGGCCGCCGTCATTGTCGACGACGACAAAGCCAAGCAGCATGCAGAAATGGACAAACCGCAACAGGTTGACAACACATTGCTCATGGCGATCGATTGTGTCTAGCAAAACCAAGCAGCAGCAGCAACACCAATTCTTGGATGATTGCATCCATGATTCTTTAGTTATAGGTTTTTTTTTGCCTTAGTATTTTTGTAATTTTACCGGATTTTTTTTTCAGGGAATTCAAGCAATCAAAAGCTGAACATTCCCTACTTTTTAGCATTTTTTTCCTCTTTGAAATGAGGGAACCTAAGAGATAAGAAATTTACAGTGAAAACAGAGAGTGGCCAGTGTACAAAAGTAGCCACTATTGCCATCAGATTTCATAACAATGCCAAACTTTTTTTTCCCCTGGTCTCAGATCTATCTGGCCAGAATGTGCTGGTCTCTAATAGGGGAAATTGCATTTATTTAATCTTAGGATTTCATTATTAATGCAGCATGATTTAACTATCATTATCTCTGCCATGTGCAAAAACCTTTTTTTTTGTCATAAGTGGTGTACTGCCTTGTCTCAGCTTATTTGTTTTATTGATGCCCTATAAGTCCCAACCTCTTGATAGAAACTCACACCCTTTTTTTTCATTTTCTTTTCTAAGAACACATTTCTTTATTTTGATTATATTATTCATTTTATGCACGGGACTCTTACATTCTTTCTTTATATATTTCTGAGATGCTTCATATTTAAAGCTGTATCTGAAACATCCATTCTCAATTTTTGAAGCAAACTCCATAGATTATTATATTTTCAATGCATTTTGTCCATCTATTGGCTCATTTAATTTACGGTATTAATTTTTATTTTTCCTCGACTAAACCCGCTATGTCATCTACTACTCCACTATGTATCCCCTACTCCTATAGTAGTCCTGCTAATTAATTTTATTTGTGGCCCACGGAATGCTTGGTGGAGATTTGAGTTATCCTCCAAAGAACAATAAATTCTACATTTATATGGGGATGAAATTGTATCTTATCCCCCCCCCCCCCCCCCACAAACCCACCAAAAAAAACTAGTATTTTAAAATATACATATTTCTCAGCTCCTCTGTAACTGGCTGCAAAAATATTATGTGATTATTTTTTATCTTTTAGTTTGTTGTGCTTTATTTGTCATTAAAGTTACTTTAAGCATGGCCTATATTCTTACATGTCCGCATGAAATTTTTGGATAGGACAAATAGTTAAAAGTACATCCAAAAGTTAACGACGTTATAAATTTTAAAAACTAGAGGGAGTACTACGTAAAAAAAAATATTCTATGTGTTTATATCTGAATTTTCTTTCTCTGTATCTCGATGTGTAGATAATGACTAGGCTTGAAATAGTCCCGAGGGTTGCTTCCTAAGTGTCATATTATAGGTTATCATTTTTTTAAAAAAAATATCTCCAATATTTTGTTGACATTTGAAGAGCTTTGCCTTCTCTGTTTGGATTGATTATTGTTGTTTGTAACTTGGTAAGACACTCCAATGACTTCTCTGTTCCGTGCACCTAATTTACACGGATTACAATAAAAATACACGGTAATTAGCACTGCTACTTTTCAAAGTGTCGATTTCAGGAGTTCTATCTAGACTTCTGGGAACTAGCAGTAGTGCAGGAATACTATACTAGTAGTAATACTCACTGCCACTATGAGTGTATCTTTCAAAATAGACGGTTTCTAATTAGATCCCAGTAAAATACTAATTGGTACTACCACTCAAATAGTTTTCAAACACATGGTAAGCAATCCTGTCACCACTAATATAGACATATTTGCATAAGGCGCACTGCCACTAATCGACAAGGTCCCATGCTGGCTCGCTGATCGTCTGCAACAACTTTGTCTTTTTACCCCTGTGCCCTGTTCATTGGATCCAAGTCCTAAACCATGCCTTTTTATTTCATAACAGAGGAAGTATATACATGCTTTTATACCAATAAGGATATGTAGTATCCTTCATTTCTTGAGTATGCGTTATGCAAGACATGCTTATAGGTATATAGTCTATGATACGTATGTATATGTTTTTTTCCTATATAATTGGGAAAAAACAATATCCATTTTTAAATATGTTGTTTGGAGGAAAAGAAAAGAGGGATGCAACATGAGGAATTCTCAGGGAATCACCCATCCTAGTACAGCTCTCGTCCAAGCACGCTTAATTTCGGAGTTTTGACGTGTTCCGGTGCTTTTGTCCTCGCTATATATATATATATATATATATATATATATATATATATATATATATATATATATATATATATATATGTTGTTTTCGACATCGACACGATTTCTAATACACGTTTTTATTACTTTCTCAAACTATATATTTATATAAAAGTAACTATATATTTATAAAAAAAGAACAACTATATGAAAGAGTTTTCCATGACAGATACTATATGAATATTTTTTTCATATTTTAAATCCTGGTTTTTTATCTATTAATGGTTTAAGATTTTAATATCTGACTACACGCAGGAGCATGATCACTGAGCGGCTTCCTGGGATCATCGGTGAAAACTCAATAGAATTTTGATTGTTTATCATATGAATTGGAAATATAATCTACATAGTAAGTACTTGAAGTAGATTTAGATTTGTTCGGGCTCTTAAAATTTTATGGCTTCGTCATTGGCCCCACATATTCTTTAAACATTGTCCATTTAAGGCTGTAAAAAACAACTTGCTTATTTTCCGTTAGCACGCTTCTTAAATTGATAAATAGTACATTTCATATAAAAAAAATTTCTATACATACATATTTTTTTAAAATAATATCAATCTATTTTTATTTGTGATAATTAATTAATTAACTAATAATAGTTCATCTTGTTTCACGTGCCACCAAAACTGCCAGCCCGGCTTAACAACAGAAGGGAAGGGAGTAGTATGTGTGTTCAGTTACCTTAATCTGTAAAGTATAAGGCGACACAAGTGTTTAACCGCGGGCGGGGGCGACCGTGGGTACATCCATCCGGGTGTTGGATCGACGGAAGCAGTGACAGGGGTGACAGTACATCCCAATCCATCGGCTTTTCTGCCACAACACACACAACACACAGCGTATGTGTAGGAGCTGAGCTGACACATGTGTAATCACTCTCCCTTTGTACTGCAACTCTGCGACGCTGTCGGTGTGGATCGCTCCCCTGGCCTTTGCCCCCGGCCCACCATGCACCACCGCATTCTGCACCTCCTTCCCCCACACAACGGCCTGGCCGCATCTGCATCTGCTCCGGCAAACGCCGGCAAGTACGCACCCCGCATCGGCGCCATGCAATTCTCCCTGAGATAAAAATGTACTACCCCCCATCTCATTCTCAAGTGCAGTTTCCATTTACTCGTTCGTCTTATTTCAATTTTTTTTATAATTAGTTTTTTTCTATGAGATGATAAGACATGAATAGTACTTTATGTGTGCCTTATGTTTTTAATTTTTTTCAAAACAAATTTAAATAAGATGGATGATCAAAATTAAGCACGGAAAAACATGATTGCACTTAAAATGGGACGGAGGAAGTACTAGAATTGTAGCAACTTCTTCACGTGCTTACTTATCTCAATCGATCACAACGTCTTATTCTCATTTAGTTTATCTCAATCAATCAAAATAATTCCTTATTATATTTTACTTCTCTTTTTAATTTTCGTGAAAAAAACTTCAGAGCTACTCGTAATTTATGACGGAGGTAGCAATAGTAATTCGCTTGTTGCTAGGGTTGGGGTATTTGGTCGGATCTGAAAATTTGGTTCGCTCTTGAAATAAATTCGGTTATTTAGAATTTGAGACCGAATTACATTGTAAGAAAAAAAAAAGAAGACTCAAGCCTTCAACAATTCGGTTCCAGTTAGTTCTGTTTGGACTTCGGACATGACCAAAACATGTGACAGTTCGAAGGGGTAAGAAATAAAACATATGACAACAAACTTTTGATAAGCCTTCCTTGTTTTGGACATGTTTCGATAGCTCAAGATAATAGCAAAGTATATATGACGCACAAATTCACCAACATAGCATAAAAAAAAGAGAGATTTAGACAAAGAGACGTCGTTCCAAATATTTTTAAGAAGAAATTGTGAGAATATAGATCTTGAATTGAAACCACACCTCTTATTATTGCACTATCAAGTGCATCTTAACATAGCACTGATCTTAGCAGTCCTACTCCTAACTTAGAACTCTTAACATCAAGTCAATCAAGATTAAGATAGCTACTTGAGCTTCTCTCCTTACTTCGGTAGGTTCGGTTATTTCGGTTAAACGAGGGTGATGACCGAATTCATTTCGGTCAGTGAAAAAGCCCAACCAAAAATTCTAAATCTCTGTTAGTTCAGTTCGGTTTGATTTCCCGGTAATTTCTGCCCACCTCTATTGTCGCCATATCCTCCTCCTCCCCTGTGCCACACACAGGGCATGAACACTGTGGCTGTAGCAGGGGCAGTGTGTGTGTGGTTGGCCATGGAGAAGGGGAGGGATTCACGTGCCCCCTGGCCCCGGATGGTTTTCCCTTTTTCTTTTCTTCTTCTCCTTTTTGGCCACCACCACACGCAGCAGATCCCGCACGCGCGTGCGTGTGTGCCGGGCACGTGCGCGCCAGTTGAGCGAGAGCGCGCGCGACGCATTCTCCCCCCACCGGCGACAGCTCGCCCGGAGCTAGCACTGCCTGCTGCTGCCAACTCAATCCCAATCTTGCCGTGCCAAATGCATTGCATATGCAACGCTAGCTGCCTGCCTGCCTCTGATGATCAACTGATCATCGTGAGAGCCATATGCAATGCCAGACTGACAGTAAAACCGTACCTGTGTCGTCGTCGTCGTACGTCCTGGCCGGCCCTTCTGCTGGCCAGGCTCACACTTGCTGAGCTTTCATGCTGCAGGCCAACAGCTAATACGGAACCCTGGTTTAGTTCCCAACTTTTCTATCACATCAAAACTTTTCTACACACATAAATTTTCAATTTTTTTTTCAAACTTTTAATTTTAGCGTGGAACTAAACACACCCGGAGTACTACGAGTCTGGACTGTGGACTGTGGAGTCGCATGCAGAGCGCACTGACGGTTCTACTACTCCCCCGTCCTAAAAAAACTGATCTTATATTAGGATATGATACATCCTAGTACAATAAATATAAACATAGAGTATGTCTAGATTTCTGATACTAGAATATATTATATTCTAATATTATAGTACGATGTTGGTTTATTTTGGGACAGAAGGAGTACTCCGTAAGTACTATGGATACTCCTAAGCACTAGCAGCATAGTCGTGGGTGCTGGTACTCCTCTGCTCTCTCGCTGCTTCGTTCTGCTCTGATACGGAATGAGATCTTGTTTCATGTGAAAAATCTTTAA